AGAAAGGGGAGGGGTGCCCCAAAGACACAGAGCCAAAGGAGGCAAGAGAGGAGCCCCAGAGCTGAGGCAAAACTGAAAGCGGCAAGCGGGAGAGGGAGGCGATCAGGGTTGGGGTGTGAGGCACGGGGTGTTGGGGAGCATCCGGAAACAGAAAGAAATTGGCGAGTGTGGGAGCCAGATGGGAGAAGGTGAGGAAAGCTCAGGGGCCCGCCCGCCCCGTGCAGGTGCAGGGGGGAGGGGAAGGGGGGCCCCCCCGCCGGGCCCAGGCAAGAGGGGCCCTGGGGGAAGGAGACCAGAGGCCTCCCCTTCCCCATCTTTCTCAGAGCCCCCACGACGACGCCACAGATGCCCCAAGCGTCCACCCGCTGGGCTTATGAAGCCCTGTGTCCTTGAGAAGAAGGACTGTGCTCAGGCCCAGCCCTGGAGTCCCCACCGCCCCAGGAGATGCCCAGCCGGGGGCGGGGGCAGCAGCAGGGGGGTTCTGAGTGGCCCACCCCGCTCGGGGCCAGAGGTGGACAGAGGCCCGAGGAGGGACCTGGTGGGCACAGAGGAGGCACTCGGGAACAGGGGTTGCCTGGGCACTCAGGGAGGGAGCGCCAGCGCCCTGCTGGGTCTGGTCACGGTGCCCTCTCCGAGCCTCAGTTTCCCCGTTTGTACAAAGGTGGCATTAAGAACTTACTCGGGGTCACAGTAAGGACCAAACGTACGTGGAGTGCATGGCAGGGCACGACACACGTAAGTGGCTGACAGTGGGCCTGTTGAAGGTCGAAGCGCCACAGCATCCTGTCTCGATGAGTCAGGGCCCTTTCATTTGCAAACGACAGAAGTCCAGCTGGAGCTGAGCCAAGTGAGGGAGGGTGTTAGTAACTCCAGTAACTGAACACTTCATGGGTGGATCCAGTTCCAGGCCCAGACGGATCCAGGACCTCAACCCACATTCCCAAGAAGCTTTCTCCTCGACCTGGCACCACTCACCTCCGTGCTGCCTTCTCTCTCGTGGGTGCCCTTCCCCTGGTGGCCTCTGGTCACTCCAGGCTCCTCTGTCCTCTGTTGACTAGTCCCAGAAGAGAGAGAGAGCCTTAGTCCCTCGAGTTTGAGCAAAAGTCCCTGTGCAGAGCCTAATTCCACTCTCTGTGGAATGGCTCTTTTGGTTTGCCTCTGTGTTCTCTCCTCTTGTGCTAACTTTTAACCAGTTCGTCGCCTCCCTTCCCCCACCCAGAGCAGGCTGCGCTTCCATAAATAACTTTGGAATTTGCTGTGTGACCTTAAGCACATCCTTAACCTCTCTGAACCTTTTTCCTTTTCTTTTTCTTTTTTTCTTTTTTTTAATGTTTATTTTTAAGAGGGGGGGGAGGGGCAGAGAGAGAGGGAGACACAGAATCGGGAGCAGGCTCCAGGCTCTGAGCTGTCAGCACAGGGCCCGACGCGGGGCTCAAACTCACGAGCTCTGAGATCATGGCCTGAGCCCAAGTCGGACGCTTAACTGACTGGGCCACCCAGGCACCCCCACGTTTTTCCTCTTCCAGAAGAGGGGCCCCTCATATCTTAGACAGGCGTGTTGTGAAACTCACTGAAAGAATGAGTGTGGCACACACACAATAAATGTGGAACAAATGCATCTCGACAGCCGTCCCCCCTTCTACCAGCAATAGCCCCTAATCTTGGGTGCCTTCTCATTTCCAGAACCTCAGAATTGCGGGTGGAGTATACACCACAGGCCTAAGTCGGTCGGCACGGGATACCTTCCTGGCCAGTGACTGGCTCCGGAAGTCATGTGTCCCAAGCCAGGGCAGTTAGAGGGAGTGTAGGGCTTTTGCTGGAGATGCTCTGGACCTCTGGTCCCCCCCCCCCCAGGCATGTGTGGAAACACACAGTGTCTGTGTCCCGAGCCGCTAGACCTGTCACATGACCACACAAGGAGACGAAAGCTACGGGCCACACAGAAAGGAGAGCTGAGGAGAAAGAAGTTGGCGATAATATTTAGGCCTCTGACCCCAGCCACACCTGTTTCAGAGTTTCTCAGCAATGAGGGACCGGGATCCCCTCCCTTTTCTTCCAGGGATACCTTTTGGGGCTACAGACCCCGGAATAAGAAGGCTTTGAAAAGTGAGATCCATGGGGTGCCTGGGTGGCTCAGTCGGCTAAACATCCGACTTTGGCTCAGGTCACAATCTCGCAGTTCAGGAGTTCGAGCCCCGTGTCGTCACTGTGCTGACAGCTCAGAGCCTGGAGCCTGCTTCCGATTCTGTGTGTCTCTCCTCTCGGCCCCTCCCCTGCTTGTGCTCTGTCTCTCAAAAATAAATAAACATTAAAAAATTGTTTTTAAAAAGAAGCAATCAATGGCTTCAGGACCACTGATCCGGGTTATTAGGTGGGCTATCAGAACCCAACTTTCTTTTTATTTTTTAATTTTTTTAATGCATATTTATTTTTGAGAGAGAGAGAGAGAGAGAGAGAGACAGAGTGCAAGTTGGGGGAGGGGCAGAGAGAGAGAGGGAGACACGAATCCGAAGGAGGCTCCAGGCTCCGAGCTGTCAGCACAGAGCCCAATGCAGGGCTCAAACTCACAAGCAGTAAGATCATGACCTGAGCTGAAGTCAGATGCTTAACCCATCGAGCCACCCAGGCGCCCCAAGAACTCAACTTTTCTATTTCTACTTCTATTTGGTCCACACTACTTTCCTCTGTGGTGTCTTCATTCACCGGCATGCTCTCTCCAAGCAGAAGCCTGCAATCGTTGCAAGCCTGCATCCCCCCAGTGGCCCCCTCAATAGATAAACAGCTTCTCTTTGCCAGGAGTTCCAACCAAAAGTCTCAGGAAGGTGTCTCATTGGCCCGAATTGGGTCACGTGTTCCAGTATCAACCAATTACTGAGGCCAGGAGGTGGGCTATAATGATTGGCCCATCCTGGGTCACAGTCACATCCAAGCTTGGCCCCCACCTGAGTCCTGTAAACATTTCCAATGCAAATCTGGTGGTGGCTTTGGAAGAGCAGCATGCGGGGAAGGTGAAGACAAAAGATGTCCTCTATAGATGTTAAAAGGTGGTCTGCGAATTGCTAATAATAACTTTTTTTTCTCCCTGAAGTCAAATAAGTTCAGGAAACACCAGGTTTGGTAAAGAGAAACAAAGATACTTATCACAGGATGTCTCCTGAGCCATAAACTTATTAACGCGCATTTTGTCTCTGCAACGGAGCGTGAGACAACTTTTCCCAGGCTCTCCCGACCACAGAATTCTTTCCTGAGAAGCTGCTCCCAGGACTCATGGGCCACATGGTGCATTTTGGGGAAAACAACACCGAACACCACGAAGAGCCCAAGGTCCTGTGGCAGTCACCGTCAATGCCTTGTATGAGAAAAAAAAAAAAAATTATTTCTGCTCCCAGCTTCCACCCGCAGGGATTCTTTCTACCGGCCACCCCAGTGGGCAAAGATACCCCAGCCCCAGCCCCATAGATCTCATTGCATTGACTCTGTCCTGGCTGGCTCGTCGACCGGTGGAAGCAAAGCCATGTAATCTCGCTGGTCCAAGAGGCAAAAATGGGAAGCTGCTTAGTTAGTGCTTCAGGGAATGCCCCTACCCCCAATCCACCAAGGCAAGGACTGGAGTCACCTTGGACGTCCCCATGCCTCCCAGCACAACCTGTCACCACGCCCCTTGCTCCGGCCTCCCAAACATCTCATTCCACCACCCCTCTCCATTGCCCCTGCCACTTCTTCGGCTAGCCCACCACCACTTCTCATGCAACAGCCTCCCCACCGCCCCCCACCTCAGGGCCTTTGCACATGCTGCTGCTAAGGCCCGGAACTCACCCGCCTTGGCATAGACCGACCAGCAATTCTCAGCCCGTTTACTGCCTCTTAAAGCTGCCCTATCCTCCCGCCCCCACTTATTCCCTCCTTGGGCCTCGGTCTCTCTTATTATGAAATCGCTTAGATACGCAAACACTTAAGAGAATCCTGTCCCAAACACTTGTGTACCCAACTCCGCTTAACAATAAGACATTACACTTATCACGGAGGCCTTCCCGAATGCCTCCCCGACCCTTCCCCGCGCTCGGCCGCACGGTTGCCTCTCTCCTGAACTTGGTGTTCCTCGTTGCTTTGCCCATATTTGCACACGCTGTGTATCCCTGAACCATATATTTCGGTTTTCATGTTTCCAACTTTCTATATACAAATAAAAGAACTTGTTTTCTGGTTCTCACTCCATATTCTCTTGGTGATATTTATCTGTGCTGACTGGTGTTGCCCCGATGCACTCATTTTCACCTGCTGGGAAGCGTCCGTGCTGTGACTGGGCTACAAGCCCTGTCCATTCTCTTGGTCATGGCCCCTACCATTGCCAGCTGTTGGCCATTGCAAGGCTGCCCCGAGCCCCAGGTGCCCACCCCCTGAGCCCGTGTGCCAGCTGCTCTGGGTTTATACCCAAGAGTTTGCTAGATAAAAGGAAACACCATCTTCAGCCTTACTGATGTTGCTAGATCGTTCTCCAGGGCGCTTGCACCAGCATACCTTTGTGATAAACTTTCTGTTCCTTGGCCCAGGCACAAAGGTGCCTCTTCTCGTCTATTTCCTCCAGATAAACTCTCCCTGTTGACATCCAGCCTGTCCAACGCTCTCTCTAAGCCTCCCTCCCCCATTTCTCCAATCGGGCCTCTCACAAGCTTCCCTGGTAGAGCAGCCGACACTTTGCACAACACCCAGAGCAAGGACATTGGCAGCAGTGACTCCAGAGGCCAACAGCCCCAGATCGAATCCCAGACTTGTCACTTTGGCTGTGTGCCTTTGGGCAAATCGCTTCTCCTCTCTGGGCCTGCTTCCTCACCTGCGAATGGGGATACCCACAGGAACTGACCACAGGGGAACGGCAGCGATCGAATGCTTGAAGGGAAGCTGCCACTATTGCCTTTGGAGCCAACAAAGGACGCCAACAACTGTGTGCATCACTCAAGGCTACTTTGGCGTGTGCAACAGAAATCCCAAGTCAAGCCGGGTGAAGACAACGGGTAATTTATTGGCCCACGTAACTGGGAAGTCTGAGGGGGGTGTCTCGCTTCAGATGTGACTGGACCCAGAGATCCCGACACCCTGTCCACCTCGAGGCCATTCTCTCCTCCACGTGGACTTCGTTCTTGGGCAGGCTCGCCAAGTAGCGCCAGGAATATATTCTTCCAGTTTACCAACTGCCATGGAGCAAAAAGAGCTTCTCCTTCCAGTCACTTCTGGCCCAAGTCCCAGGGCTGGTCCTCGGTGGCCCAGATTACGTCACGTGCCCAGACCAGAGCCAATCACAATGACCAGGGCGTCCACCAGAAGGTGCTCGAAGTCTGGTTCTCGGAAGAGCGCTATCAGAAGCATCTGGTAGTTTCTCTGAAATGCAGACTCTCGGGCCCCATCCCAGACCTACTCATTTGGAATCTGCATTTTAGCAAGACCCCCCGGTGAGTCATCTGCACACCCGAGTCCGAAAAGGCTGCATCGCACATTACCTTTCAGTTGCTTGGGGTCAAGTCCACCCCCTTGCTCTAAAGATGGAGAAAATGAGTGCCGGCAGGAAGCAGTCTTGCTCTCGAAGGTCACTCTGCACCCAAGGTTCCCATGCCCTGCCCTCCCATCATCCCAGCCATCGTCTGCCGTGGGTCCAGTGGACTATCGCGTTGGGGGAGATGCATCGAAGCCTCGAAGCCCAGAAGGCCCAGTCTGGGTCGGACTTGCCTCACGCCGAAGCGCCGTGCCCCAGGCACCATTTGGTCACTCCCAACGGCTGATGAGGACCCTCAGGAGCATGGCGGCCCAGGGAGGATGGAGACCCCCAGACACACACACACACACACACACACACACACACACACACGTGCGTGCACACAGCTCCCACACGGGCGCCCAGGCAAGCCCACCCTCACTCGGACTCCCCCCCACGGGCCCCCCAAAGGCAAGAGCGCTACAGACCACACCAGCCTTTATTCTACTGCCGAATAGGGCTGGGGCCAGGGTAGCTCATTCTCAGGCTGCGTCAGAAGGTGCAGAGTGTTGGGGGCACACAGACTGGACCCCAAAGTGACAATAAGTTAGGGGGGAGATTCTCAGGCTGTTCTCAGGCTGCAGTCAGGGTGGGGTGCCTAGGAGGGTCCCCCAGAGCCACTGCCAGCTGCCCGGCTCGGCACTCCCGAGCAAGGCTGGTTTGAGGACAGGCATGGCCTCGCGCTGAAACAACCGGGAGAGGGAGGGGTTGCAACGTCAGGAGGTCAGTGGGGGTCCGAGGGGTCCCCGAAGGAGTCGGAGGATAGGGCTGAGGGGCCGCGCGGAAGGGTGGGCAGGGCCTCTCACCGGACCCTCAGTTAAGCCCCTGCAGATTCTCATAATCTGGAGCTCCCTCTTCCTCGTCGTCGTTCTGGGAGCTCAGGATGGCTGGAAGGGGAAAGAGATCAGTCTTAAGCTCACAGACCGTCCCTCCTGCCCCGGGCACATTACCTTTCACGTTACCCCAAGCTCCTGCCACCCCCCATCCCAGCACACACCAGGCTCGGTCCTAGCCACGGGTGGCAGCTCCTGGGACACATTCACGTACTCCCGGCTCCCATCTGCAGGGACAGGTCAGAAGGGGGGGACGGCCACGTGGAGGGTGAGAGAACAGGACACTCAGAAAGAGGGCCACAGCAGGTGAGGGTGGGGGAGGGAAGGGGGACCCTAGGGGGCACCGGCCACTCACCCAGAGACACGTCTGCACTCTCCTCGCTCTCGGGGACGTTCACGTAATCCTCCCCCGACTCCACTGCAGGAGAAGCAGGGCCCCCGGCACTGTCACCCAGAGCCCCGAGCACAGACCCCAGAGGCCACCCCGCAGCCAGCCCCAGAGGGTCCCACAGAGGCCCTGGTGATGGAGAGAAGTAGGGCAACGTGCCCAGAGCGGATGAGAGGGAGTGGAAGCCTGGGGGAGAACAGACAGCATGTCGGCCAGGCTGGGGGCAGGGGCAGAGAGCAGCTCGGAGCCATGGCGCTGGGTGGCACGTGTGAGACAACGCTTGTGGGGTGCCGAGTCTGAGGTGCTGTCGCCCCACTGGCCCCGTCGGCCAGGCCTGCCCTGACCCCCGCTCCCATCCTGGGGTCTTCCAGCACCTGGAGCCATCGGCGCCATCTTGCCCTTTTTTATTTACTTAAAGTAGGCTCCCCACCAAGCACGGAGCCCAACGTGGGACCTGAACTCACGACCCCGAGATCAAGACCTGAGACGGGATCAAGAGTCGGACACCTAAGTGACTGAGCCACCCGGGTGCCTCCCACCTATCTTGTCCCTCCACGCTGACTTGTTTCTCCACGAGGCCGTGGACGAGGTAGGCTTTGGAGCCAGAGAGCCCAGGTGCAAACCCAGCTCCCACACTGACAGTCATGTAACCTCACACAAGCTACCTAGGCTCTCTGGGCCTCGGTGTTCTCATCTGTAGAATAGGGTGAGGGGCGGCACCCACCTCCCAGGAGCGCCGTGAGAACTAAAGCCGAGAATATCTGAACGGGGCCGCCAAGCGTCTATGAGATACATGGTCCCTCCTGTCGTACAGTCAGGACAACCGAGGTGCAGGAAGGGAAGAGATGGGCTCAAGAGCACCTGGGGATCCTGAGGTTTCATGAGTTAATACACGAAATGCTCTCAGAAAGGCACGTAGTAGGTCCCTGACAAGCTGAGCTCCTTTATCATGACACTACCTCGTGAGCTGTTTTATCAGAGGCACCCAGTAAACACAGCGAGTGAGGGATGGATGAATAAATGAGCTCAGGGGAGGTGGGGAGTTGGGAATCGAGCTCGCTCACGAAGTCAGGGTGCAGAAGGAATGGCCCAGAACAGGTACGGAAAGTGAGGAGAGCGACAGAAAATGGAAGGTCACCAAACATGGAAGGAAGCCTCTAACAGGCAACGTGAGACGAACACGAAGGGAGAAAAGCAGCTCAAAGGAAACCAAAATGATGCCGGAAGCAGAAGAAAACTTCCAAAAAACCCTCAAAGAAGACAATCTATAATCAATATCTTTAGAAATGTACAAGATGGTATTGTCTCTGTGAAACAAGAACAGAAGGCTATGAAAAAGGAACACCAGAGACCAAGAAAAGAGCTTTCAGATAAGAGACAAAAGAAGAGAGTCTCAAAGAATAGTGAAGTTGGAGAAATCTCACAGACAATAAAAGGGAAAGACAAAGAAATAGAAAAGAGGATAGAAAAAGTAAGGAAACCAGCAGATCAGAGTGGAAGTCCGCCCTGAGGGACAGGTGTTCTAGAAAGAGAGGAGAGAGAATGCGGAGGGGCAGCAAGCATCAAAGAAATAACAGGAGAGGGAAGAGCAGACGGGCCGCAACACAGTGTCAGAAATGGCCAACTCACTGGAGAAGGCGCTGTCTCGGAGGCCGGGGTTGCTGGGTGCGGGAGCCGGTGGGACAGCAGTGCCTGTCGCTGGCGTGCTGTCAGGAAGCACCTCCCTGAGGACAAGTCGAGGGGCAAGTGAGTAAGGACCCCCAGCTGGAGCTCCCACCCCCCCACCTGGCCACTCACAAGTAGCCCTCGTTGGGATAATCCTCCTCCTCGTCTTCATCGTCGTCCTCACAGGCGGGCTCTGAGGTAACGACACAGCGATCAGCAGGGCCCAGCCCAGGCCCCAGCCTCCCTGCAACCAGGGCACCTGGGGCCCCAGACGCACCCTCGTTCTCGTAGCTCGCCACACTGTTGGCTTCAGAGAGAGACCAAGAGGGAGGCTGAGTCAGCTCACACGGGGTCTATCCTCTGCCCAGCCCCAGCCCCCTGAGCCCTGCTCCACACTTACCACCATCTGAGTCCTGCCGGGAAGATGGCATGCGGTGGGAGCCCCCAGGGGGCTGTGGGGACCTCCTGGGAGTCAAAGGTCAGAAGTCATGCTGAGATGGGGCACTGGACCAAGAGGGGTTGCAACAGGGCAAGAGATCCCCAATCCTCAGAGGCGAGGGGGTAAAAAGGGGGATTTGGAGGGGAGGATGCTACTCACGGGATGGGAAGCAGGTCCGGCTGGCTCAAGGGTGGGTAGGAGGTAACAGGAGGATAGGAGGTGGCTGGTGTCCAGGTGGCGAGTGTGGCTGAGGACACGAGACCAAGCTCAAGGAACGACTCCAGACATTTTGCCCCCACACTCATCGAGGCCTCAAAGGGCAGGCGAATTCTGTGAACCCCCTGGGCCCTGCACCGGCCTGAGGACACCCATCTCCCTTCCTATCCCCAGCTCAGATCAAAGCCATGTGGGCAGCCACCGTGGGGGGGAGCCTGAACAGAGGCACGCTTTCTCTCACACGCCAGGGGACCCACTCCCCTACACCCGAGGGAGAGGACCCTCCATGTACTCACGAGGGCGTTTGATCACGATGCTACTTGGGGCCAAGCTGGCAGGAGAGACACAGATAGGTAAGGGCCAGGAGAGACCCCAGCTCCCATCCCAGTCCCCTCCCCTCCCCGGGGCCACACAGGGCACTGAGGGAGCCACCTAGGGTCGACGGGCAACTCACCTGTCAGAGGCCGTATTGTCATAGGAGCCTGGGGAAGAGAAGCCAGTAAGGCAGGAAGCGGGGTGAAGAGGGGAGAGGCTGGGAGTATGGGGCTCAGATCTCGCGTGCAAGCAGAGTTCGGGACAGTCGGGATGGAGTGAGAGGTAGAGGAGAGCCGAGCCCCCACTCACCTGGCAGCTCTCGGCACCGCACGCACAGCACCACAGCCAGCAGCGGCAGCAGCAGGAGGCCCAGCACGTAGGGGATCAGGAAGACCGCCTCCATCTGCGGGAGAGAGCTTGCACCAGGCCCGGCTGCCCGCCGCTCACCCCGTCAAGGGCCGAGCCGCGGTGGGGTGAGGGCCAGGCCAGCAGGGGTGCGGGAGCCGGGTGGGCACAGCCTGGAAGCCCGACCGGGGGGTGGGGGTGGGGGGCAAGCGTGCCCTCCTTGGGGACTCACTGGCCCCTTCCCCTTTCTGGGCTGAGTGGGGGGGGGCGGGTCAGCGCCGACGGTGCAAGACCCCTGCTCCCTGCGCAGTCCGGCCAGGGTCCGGGCTGGAGTCTGGGGCACCCGTCACCCGGCGGCGCGGCCCCTGCGCGCCCCAGCCCTACCTGCCGCTCGGCTAGGCGCCTGCTTCTCCTCAGCGCCTGCCCGCCTGTGGCAGGAAGCTGTGGTGAGCCCGGGCGAGGGCAGGAAATCATCGGGCTCAGCCAGCTGCACCCGCCCCCTTCCCACCCCCACCCAGCCAGTGGGGAGGGGGAGGCGGAGGCCCGCGGGGCCACCCGCAGGCCCTCGAGAGGGGTCTGCTGGCCCCCAGGACGCAGAGCGAGCCCTACCAGGGGAAGAAGGGCAAGACGCGGACAGGCCAGCCCACAGCCACGGCCTCCACAGCCGTGGCTCAAGGAGGCAGCCAGGAGGGAGGCCCTGCCCCTGGGAGCTGAGGGGCACAGGGCAGTGCCCACCCCACCTCACCCTGGCCGGCCTGCCAAGAGGGGCGGGCTCTAGGGGAACCACGGTTCTGACTCACGGTCATACTGAGCTCGCTCACCCCACACCGCTGTTCGCCAGGCCCCGGAGAGCAGGGATTTGCCTAAGGTCCCCACAGGAGTGACCCTCTAGCCCCGGGGAGTCCTGGGGTCTGCCAGCCAGAGATACTACCGCCCAGAGAGACTCGAGCAGGCACTTGGGGTCTGACTACAAATTTTATTCAGTTACAAATAGCACCAAGCCCCTGGGGCTGCTCCAGGAGAGAGGAAGGCCCCTCCCGGACCCACCGCCCCCCTGCCCCGACCGACCGCTGCCTGTGTAGTGTATGGGAGCTGGAACGCGGCCCGAGGCCGTTCCTAGAAGCTGGGCCAGTCCAAGGGTTCGGGCCCGGGCACCTTCTGGGGCGGGCCCAGGGCCAGCTGGGATAGGGATGCGCGCTGGCGAGCGACGGCCCCTCAGATGAGCACGCTGGACACAGGGACGCGGGTGGAGCGGCCTCGCCGGGGTACCACGATCCGGTCATCTGTGGGCCCTGCCTCACGCAGCAGACCTGCCAAGGGAGGGGTCAGAGCCAGGGCTGGATGGACGGAAAGACACAAAGCCAGGGAGGGGGCAGACGGGCGGTGGGAAGTGGACACGGGGCGGCAGAGCCACCAGCACTGCGGGCACAGTGGAGCGTCAGCTCGTTGGGCAGCCGGACCCAAAGCAGGATGGGGGAAGAACCGTGGGCTGAGAGAAGCCAGGGACACAGGTCTGGGCAGACGGATGGACGGACAAGCACGGGGTATCATGAAGTTGGGCAAGGAGTCAGGGATGGACAAAGGGAAGGCCCCCGCTGACCCTGCACGTGCAGCTGAGCCTGCCGGCGGTCACCCTCAATGAAGATGGCAGTGCCCAGGAAGGCTGCCCCGCCCAGAGCCCCGACGAAGGCGCAGAGCATGAGGGAGAACTGCAGGGCTCGGAACTCGGACAAGAAGGAGGGGGGCCAGCTCCGGCGGAGGCGGTCGGAGATCTGCAGGGAGACGAGAAAGGAGAGCCAGGAGAACGAGTCACGGACAGGGAGCCCCCAGACTGCGGAAGAACAAAGGGGTCGGGAGCTGGCAAAGAAGGGTGGTCTGGAGAACCAGGGAAAGCCCCGTGGCCTCGCTGCGGAATCTTCCAAAACGAAGTCCTGCCCGCCTGGCTGAGGCTCCGAGGTGAGGGGCGCCGGGCGCAGAGCACACGAACATCCAACTGGGTCAGACCTTGTAAGTCAGCTCAAGCTGAGGCCAACAGCTGCCAGCCAGTGCCAGGAACGCAGGGTCCCCCGATCCCCACCCCGGGTCCAGCCAAGGGGCGGTGCTCACCAGGCCAACGAGGTAGGGGCTCCCAGCATCGCCCAGAAGGTGGGACAGCACGATCTGGAAGGCCTCGGCAGTGGACCGTCGCGTGGGGATCACCACATACTGGGGAGAAGGGGGGTGGGAGGCAGAGGGCAAGGACAGGGCCAAGGCTCAGTCTAGGCTGAGGTCAAAGGTGAATCCCAGCCCTGAGGTGTGAGTGGGGTGAATGCCCAGACTCCAGGCCGATCTGGGGCTGACTCTGAATTCAGTCTGGGGCTGGGTTTTGAAGAAGGGGTGAAGGCCACAATTAAGGCAAGTGAGGCCTCCGCCCCCACTCCTTGCTCCCAACAGCCTCTGGGCTAATCCTGCAGTGGCCTGCCTACTCACCAACAGAATGTCAGCCACGACGGCCCAGTTCATGGACAGCAGCGTCTCTCCAATAAAGATGAAAATCTGGGGGGGGGGGGGGGGTGGACGCGGGGAGATGGCGGCGGGCAGGGGGGGTTGGTCTCGTCGCAACAAGAGCAAACACATGACCCTGGACCAGGCCCGCATATTAACTCATTCAACTTAATCCTCGTGACACCCCTGTGAGACAAAGCTCTTATTCCCATTTTACAGATGCTAAGACTGAGCACAGAGAGGTTAACTCACTTGCCTAATGTCACACAGCTGGGAAGAGCCAGAGTTGAGGTCCAAAAGCAGGCCTTCTGGTTCAAGTGGTCTCTGAACCACTATGCTGATGAACCCCAGTCCTGCCCCGGCAGAGGCACCATCCCACCGTCCTACCACCCCAGACCCACAACACCCCTTTTGACACCTTCTGGCTACTCACATAGGTGGCCACGATGCTACCACGAGCACAGGCAAGGGACAGGAAGAGGAAGGGCGCGGAGCCCAAGAGTCCAGCAGCACAGACCAGTGGGTCAGCCCGGGGGTTGGAACGGCGGAGGCGGCGGCTGATCTCCACGCCCAGGCCCACACCCAGGACCCCGGTCAGGCAGGTGATGAGCCCAAAGATGAGGCTGGGGGCAGGGGGAGGGACATGGGAGCCAGTCCCTCTGCCTGCAAAGCCCCCTCGCCTCGCCCCCACCGCCTGGAGAAGATGCTCCATCCCAGCCGCCCTGACCCCAGGTCTATCCAGGTACTCTATGGTTCACGGAGCTCTGAGAGGAAGGCATTATCCTACCATCGGTTTCCTCCGCCAGGAAAACTGAGACTGGGAGAAGAAGCAGCCTGACCCTGAATCAATGACTCTCTCCGCTCCATCCCCTGCCACCTGCAGGCCACCCCTAGCCTAGCCCCCATCTGGGTACCTGTCAGAGGAAGAGCAGGAGTCTCCAGGAAGGCAGGGTGGGGTCTCCCCCAAGACCACACGGGAACGCAGCAAGAATGCAGGAGCCCAAAGGGCCAGGGAGCCCGTGACGAAGGCCACAGCAGTGAAGCCAAGGGAAGAGAGGATGAAACTAGGACTGAAGACAGGTGGGAAGAAGGAACTCAGACTCCACTGAGGTGCCAGGATAGGGGACTTCTACTCTCTCTCCCCGGCTTACTTTTAAAGTAAGGTTAGGAGACGGGTGTGGAAGCTGTCTTGGCGCCCAGGATCTGGGCCTGTAATTCAAGCATCTGCCACAAGGGGGCAGTGGTGACCTGCCTTTGGGGGAGGGCCAGCTGGCAGAAAACAAAGACCATGCTCCTGTAAATCTCAGAACAGACACGGAGGCCTCCCTGGGGGGCCTCAGATGTTGGGTTAGAATGGAACTAAACTCACTTCCTTGCCAGAGCCCTCAGATCTGCCCACCACGAGGTGGGGTTCAGGGGTGGTGAGTCTGAGTGGCGTTCCACAGCTCCCCGTGGCGGCTCCCGGACTACCAGGAACAGCAGCAGAACAGCCACCACTCCTAGACCTGGTGTCACCTGGGGAAAGAGTGGGCTTCAGGACAGGCACAGACAGGCAGGGACACCTCCACACCCCTGGGATGGGAGAAAGTGAGGGTGTGTGAAGGCAACTCAGGCCCCAAGACCTCAAACACCCAGTAAGCCACGTGCTCAAGGAAGCTGAACGTGCGTTTGGAGGGCAGAGCAACTGCCACTAGGGGCCCCCTGCTTCTGCAAGCCTAACTGCTCCCTCTTTGGTAACAGCACCCCAGTTTCCTTTTGGGAAACTACTCCCCCCACTTCTCTCAGTCCATGTGGTTCAAACAGGGCAGGGCTTATAACCCAGACTTGGCCGACAAGAGTGGTGTGAACCTCCCTGGCCTCGGTGATTGTTTCAGTGGCAGGCACGTGACCCGTGCTCATCTAATCAGACACCATCCAGGACTTAGTGCTCAAGGATCCAGGGTGGCGAGGTTTCTAAATGGGAAGATAAATGCGTGGAGCTTTCACTTGCTTGAGAATGAAATTAACACAGAGGAAAAGCAGCACTGAGAAAAAGGATGATCAAATTCCTAGGACAGAGTGGGAGTCCTGGATCCAGCTTTACCTGACGCTCACCCTGGGGCTTTCCACTATGAGAGCCAATAGAGTCTCATCCGGGAGCTTACAGTTTTACAGTGAGCTGCTACCACCCACAACCAAGAGTTCTGTCTGCACATGGCTTCCCACAGGCTTGGCAGAGTGAGCACTGCCTTAAAAGGCGGGGGCCCGGGGGGAGAATGTCTGAAGGTAGGAAAGGGAGAAGCAGTGACAATGTCGCTGACCTTCCCCCAGGTTGTGTCCAAACTCACCCGCAGAGCCCAGTGCCAGTCCCCGGCCATATCTTTCACTTTGGAGCCTGCAATGTAACCCAGACCACTGGGGAAAGGGGACGGGAGAGGAGAGGGGATAGCCGGTCAGCCGTGCCCCCACGCCAGGCCCTCCTGCTTCCTGTGCTCCCCCCCAGGCCCCAGGCCCACGCACCTGCCCACCGGGATGGCAAAGTAGAACACACTAAGCATCCGACTCCGCTGGTCTGCCACGAAGAGGTCGGCGATGAGGGTGGGCGCGATAGTGGAGTAACTGGCCTCCCCGACCCCCACCAGGCCCCGGGTCAGGAGGAGGAGCCAGAATTGCTGGGGAACGAAACATGGGGGAGGTGGCACCCCGCCTTCACCAGCTGGCTCGGGAGAGGTGGCGGGGATGGTGGGCGAGGCCTGATCTGGACAGACCTGAGCTTGAATCCTGGCTCCACTACGTACTAGCTGTGACTTTGGGAAAGCAACTTAACCTCTCTGAGCCTCAGTTTCCTCATCTGAAAAGGGGGAAAACACTAACTTGCTCACACAACTATCACCAGGACGGGACGATACAAGTTTTATTCAGTATCTCGTGCCCCGACAGGTGTAGAACAAATCTTCATTTCTACCATCCAAGACACTCCAATCGTGAATAATGATCTGAGGCGGAAGTTTATTCGTCTATCAAAGACACCTGAAGCTAGGGACAGGGCATGATCACCCAAGGAGAGTATGCAGTACCCGGGGCTGAGGACAGACTTCCAGGGGCAGAGTAAGAACAGACAGAAGGGATTTCAAAGGAGCAAAGCAGTAACAGCCAAGGAGGCGGGAAGAAAACCACAAGAGTGGCATCACAGAAGTTAGGAGAGAGTTTCCGGAAGGAGGAAGTGAGTCAATGGAGCCAGAGGCTCCCAGGAGATCTAGCAAGAGCAGGATTAGGAAGCAGGAGCTACATTTAGCAACCAAAAGGTTTCTGTCACTTTGGCAATGGAGTGGTGGGGGCAGGTTGGCCGGCAGTGTTCCGGGGT